TTTATTTTATGGGTTAATTCAGTATTTATGGTCATTTTTTTATTTTTATTTAGTGATGTTCATGAGAAAATTAATTTATTATATTTAATAAATTTTAATAATTCTTATACTAAATTCTCACTGTTATTTATAACCTTCTTCTCCCTAGGATAAGGTACAAAATCAATGGTGCTCCGGCTTTGCCTTTGGCTTACCTCGACCAATGGTGGACCCTACTCGAGGATCTTGTTAAGTTCGGCTGGTTAAAAGATATTAGTAAGAAAACGTTTAATTAAACTGTAACTAAAAAAAAATTAAAACGTTTTAAAAATTATAACATAAAAATGAAAATACAATTTTTATTTCAAGCCCTGTTTACAACTTTGTAATGATTATAGTAGGACAATGAATTAAAATAAAGTAACAACGATTACTTTAAGACTTTGCACACTTAAGAGTTATCTGAATACAATTTAAGTTCATAAGGTAGAAGGGAAATTCAAAACTTAGATAGTACTTTTTTGTTACTAATTTAAAGTGTTAAGTGTAGACATGTTTCGGAGGACTTACTTTCAGATAGATGAAGTCATAATTTTAATTCGGGAGTTTAAACAAACATTTTTTAGCTCTCGAAAAAATACTTCAAGTCTGGAACAATATTTTGAAAGTTATTAACAATTTACTAAATAGACTGTAGCAATGTAAAGGTTATGCTACTTTTATCATTTCGTATATTCCTTCCACGATATTCCTCTTTTCCAAGTAGAAAAAAGTCATAACTTCTGAACTACAGATTCAATAGTTGTTATAGAACATTTTTTCAACTACAATATTTTCTAACGTTTAAGATAGTTAAATATGTATATTGCCTTTACAAATATTGAGTTGCATAACATGGAAAATGTATACATAATATGGGTTTTTTATTGCGCATTACTCACGAGGCTCTCAATGTTCTAGATCGAAACTGATCATATTTATCTAGTTATATTGACCTTTGAGTTTTTATTAGCTTTTTTTATATTATATAATGAAATAATTCTTAAACTATAACAATAAAATGTATCATAGTAGGGGGTCAAGGCACAGTGCGGAAGTGGTATAGTTGGGACAAGTGTACAGAATATCTGACAGTGATTAAAATCACTATCATAAGAAACGCTTCGATGCAAATCTGTAAATAGTGTTTAATTTTAAGAAATTGGTAGATTATTTCAAAAGCAACAATAACTTTTATTCCCTTAATTTTATCCCGATATAATATAATTAGGCTGGTTAGGGGTCAAATGTTCACAAAAATATATCAAAATATAGTTAAATACCTAAGGCATCTATAAAAAAAAATTATATTGATTCGGTCATTTTTAAAAAAGTTATGGCAGTTTTAAGTAAAAAAAATTGAAAAAATATCGAAAATTAACGATTTTTAAATTTGTAATTTTTTGGGGGATTTCTCCCAAAAAATCTGTAGATAGTGTTTAATTTTAAGAAATTGGTGGATTATACCAAAAGCAAAATGAATTCCTATTTCTTTATTTATATCTTTATTATAAGTTTTATGATATGTAAGTATAATATATGATTAAACATTTATTATAGTAATTACATTTAGTATTTAATAATTTAGTATTGACACTTTTATTGAGAAATTATAAAAAATTATAAAGTAGTAATTACTGATTTTAACGAATTTTCGGGTTTTTTTCATACATTTTCTGTTAATAGTAATTATATAAATTCCTGACTATAAATCAATCTAAATTAAACCATATTTTAAATTTTCATAAAATTTTCTATTTACTATATTTATATTTGTCTAAATTTCTAAAATGAAGGGATTTTTTTCCAATATTTGATGACAATTAGTTCTACTAAATTAAAATCAGTTCATTTGATGTATTGATCATCAAAATGTGTCCAGTATAAGCTGAAAATTTTTATGGACAGGCATAAAAAAACGCACAGTATTGCAAGACCAATAATATCTTAGTTTCATATTGAAACTAAAAAAAAAACAATCAAAAAATTGTTAAAAAAAATCTACTCCATTATAAAAATTAATTGAAAATGTAAAAATCCATTGTTAAATTTATGAGAAATCTAAAATCATTTTTTTTTTAAATAATTTATACAGTTTCATGATACCAACAAATTTGGAATATTAAAGACCAGTAGAAAATTACTAAAAGCGCTAATGACAACATCCCAAGGTGGAGGTCATTAAAAATAATATAAAAAGGCTCTACTTTAAGCTCTGAATTCAGTAAAGAAATCACAAATCTTTTGTCTAATTTATTTTTCTTAAACTAGCCGCGACCCCGTGTTGTCGTTGGTACATTTTAATACGATATTGAAAAATAATTATTTTGCGTCGAGAATTTATTTATTTATCTAAAAAGAAACATTTTAGAATTTTCATGTGTGCGAATTAGCAAAATCCAAGAAAGAGTATCGTACGTAATGTTTAAATGAGTGTAAAAACCTAATGTGTATCTGCATTAATAAACACTTCAACTAGGTATTCGTGAGTCGAATTACTGTCTCGTTGACTCTGTGTCCTATTAAAGAATCTTACCAATTAATTAGTTTCTTATTCCTTAATAAAAGGGAGCTACATTAATTTCTTTCTATATACTTCTCTATATTGTGCTAAAACTCTCGAACTCTACAACCCCGATAGAACCTCGATGCTAACTAATTGACCAAACCCCAAATATCCAAACACACATTACTCTCATATTTATTACAAATTTTAAATAAATATCTAAAGTATTTATAAAAAAAAAATTGTTTTTATTCATCTAATTATGGCAACTTTAAGTAAAAAATGTTGAAAAAATGTCGAAAATTATCAATTATATAAATTTAATTTTTTTAAAGATTTCCCCCATTTAAAGGAAACAAGAAATTTTTTTAAAATTTTTTATTTATTTCTTCGATTAGATACAATTTGTGATCTTTTGACGTATCGTTGAAAGTAATCGGTTTGGGAAAGCTGAGAAAAAGTGGTAACAGACACAACAAAAAAAGTGATTAAAATCACTATCATAAAAGACGCTTCAATGTAAATTTATAGATAGTGTTTAATTTAAAAAAATTGGTAGATTGTTAGAAAGCTACATGATCTCCTATTTCCTTATTTATTTCCTGATTACAAGTTTTATGATTTATAAGTGTAAATGGTGTTATTTAAAAAAAAAGTATGTCGAATGAAAGAGGGATATAAATATTATTTCTTATAAAAAAATTGTATTGATCCATACACTTTTCAATAAGTTATAGCATTATAAAGTTAAAAATGTAAAATATAAAGTCGAGAATTTTCACACAAAAATAGCATTTGGTAAAAATCTTATTTTTTTTTTTATTAACTTTGATGTCTGTTTTCACCGTGAAGACAAAATAAAGTCTGAATTTCTTTTTTTTCCAATATAAAGTATATTACATTAGCTTTAATTTAAGATATATATAAAAGTGTCAGAATTTCGGAAACACTTTCAAAAAATTAGTTGAATAAGTTAGTTTTTTGTGAAAAAGTTGACATTTTATACTCCCCTGTGGGAAGGTAAAGGGTCAGATTTATAAAAAAAAATATACCAAATGAAAGGTAAAGACATCGTGCATCTATAAAAAAAAATTATATTGATTTGATTATTTTTAAAAAAGTTATGGCAGTTTTAAGTAAAAAAATTGAAAAAATGTCGAAAATTAGCGAATTTAGATTTTAAATGTTGTAATTTTTTAGAGATTTCCCCAATTTACGGGGAACGAGGGAAGTTTTTTCAATTTTTGAGGGTAATGTCTTCGACTAGATACGTTTTGTGATCTTTTGACGTCTCGTTGAAAGAAATCGGTTTGGTGAGAGCTGAGAAAAATTGGTAACAGACAAAAAAAAACACATTATAGTAAAATTAATACTTTCTCAGCTTCGCATTGAAGCTAAAACATATAATAGTAATATTATTTAGCTTCTCATTGAAACTAAAATCGGAGTCGAAATTCTAACAACAATAGTGTAGACAAAAATTTAAGATTTTCTTCCATTTGTGCTTACTTTAAATATTGTTATTAAATACAGAATTAATGAACAAGAACTGATATCATGAAACCTAAAATGGATTTTTTATTATTTAATACTTATTACCAAAAATTACGTAAATTAGTTTCCGATTTTCAAACTTCTCAACAAATAGATGTACACTAAACTATAATATAATAGCAAATAGCATAACTATGGTAAATTGTTAGTTTTTTAAATTTATCATACCATAGTCAATCAATAGCTTGTAAAAATACTAATATTGGATATTGTCATAAAATAGTGTCAATAAAATATTAGGTAATTAAATAATTCTAACCATTAGAAATTTTTCTAAATTTTAGAGATTTGTTAGAAGTGAAATTGATTTTTCTAAACCATTTAGAAAGAAAAAATAAGTACACTTTCTTAGTATAGCTTCATCTTAAAAATGATCCAAATTAACATACATCTATATACAGTCTATATATATCTTAACTTTACATACATGCATTATAATTTTGATAAAATCTATCAAAATTGAAACACAAATATAGTATTTTTATTAATTATGAACATTTTCATTCCCAAACAACGACAAATCGCATTTTTTTACGAATTAATCTACAAAATCAATCTATATTCTTATAAACAAACACAAAAAACAAATTAAAGTAAAATTAACCTGCTCAGCATTATATTAAGTTAAAACTACTACTACGAAAAATATTCTGCTGTAGAACCTTAAATACTCCTAAAATTAACTTAAATTATATACAATTACACATAATATTTAGTCCTTAAGTTCGAAAAAATAGGAATATAGCTCTTTTTGCAATCAACAAAGTTATTATTGTATTTTTTTCTTTAATTAGATCTATTATACAATTAATAGTGTATATTATTAAGTTCTTATTTATATTATTTTATTAATTGAATAAATTGTTTGTTTTATAAAGAATACTTATTTTAAACAGATAAATTATTATTTTCATATTATTACCTGTTCTATAAATAATATTTAATGCTTTGATAATAAAATCAAAAATATCTCTGGATTCCATATTAGCATGATTAAGTTGAAATGTTAAAGAACCGTAGAGAGTTAGTCCATTGTCGCAAGGCGCAATGTGGTCACATAAGCGTTTCCTCTCATCACTGGAAACCTGTAAAAAGCAATACAAATTGACTTTCTAAAAATGATTTCTAAGATTCTAGAATATATCATCCTAACTGAAAAATCATGAAACACTTTTTATAGTAATTGTAACGAGACCAATATATATGTTATTATAGTAGTGATAAATCATTTTATTTATGAAAAGGAATTAATACGGATTATATTTGTTTATATTTGATTACATTTAGTTTATATTTGGCATTTCAAATATATAGTTAAACTAAATGAAAATGTATAATGTGCAAACCAAATCCCATAGCGATAAGGTAAGGTTTAGGTAAGCTGACATCGCCTAGTTAAAAATTGAAATTTAATCAAAACAATAAATTAATTTAAATAAATTAGATACATAAATGTAACTTTTTTATGGGATTTAACTATTGTATAAAAATTAAAAACTAAAAGTATAAAAATGGGATTAAATTTAAATTATTTTCATTGTACAAAAAATCTATTTTCTTACTTATTGAACACATTATATAACATAATTGGTTTAAATTTATAAAAAAATAATTTTTTACATACTTAACTACTAGATTTCTCTTGAAATAATAATTTTTTGTGAGAACTTTTTTTTGGCTTTTATTAGTTACATGTGCATTTATATTTATCTATTATAATATAATTTTAAGTCAATCTCTTATGTTTTATAGAGGCATTAACTTTATTTCTTTAAATGGCAACATACGTAATTAACTAACTCATTATACACTTTTTACGCATCTCTAATAATCACAAATCGTTCGATTATTAAGCCACTTATAGTTTTTATTCTTCGTTTGCCTTCGTTTTTTAATACACTAGTAATCATTCGATTGATTAGTGTATACCATTATTGTCTTATTCTCCTTCATCACGTATGATTATAGTAGCCACTAGCTCCTCTATTATTTAAACAAATTTTTCTCCGCTTGTCCTTATTAGTTTCTAAATAGTACCGTGTCATTAATACCGATATAATCCATTGTGTTTATATGTTTTACGTACACATCTATGGATTTCATCATATAGAAATCTCTCAATCACTTTGCTACTCATGCCAATCTCTCAAGCCTTCACCAGATAAGTTCTTGATTTTATTTTATTGTTTATATTTATTAAGTTGTATGATTAACATTGCAGTTTGTAAGTTACCTCCTGTCTTTTATATTTAAAATTTGATTTTGCAAATGTTTAATATATATTTTCATACATTTATTCATGTATTAAGCAAGGTATACCTATTTTTACTCACCTCTCTCTTCCTCCGTATCTTGTAATATATAAACAACTTATAACATTAGTAGCAGGCAATCCTATTATAATTAAAGAATTGCACGTTACACTTATAAAATAGAAAATGGTATTTTTTTGGATCATTACTTCGGAAATTATTCAAATGTTTGTACCTAGATGGAAAGAGGAATGCGACCAAGAAATGCTTAAGGATAAAAATAGTAACACCCGCACATCATCTCCAGTCTTAATTTTAAATTATTAATAACTTCTGAAATACTAGTCCAAAAGTTGTTACCGACCAGGCATTTTTTAGACTAGATCATTTAATATATCATAAGCTAGTTAATTATATATGATGCCATTTAAAAATATAAAGTTGACAACCCTATAAGATATAAATGATGGACTTAATACTTATTTTATAAAGATTAATGGAAATACATGTGTAACTAATAAAAAACAATTTTTGCGACCTCAAGTATAAAAGACTCGAAATGAATTTTGTTTAAATGTTTACAATTTTTTTCCAAAATTATTGTTTTTTGTACATTTTTGTTTTACCAAAAAACTTAAAAAATGGTTAGTGAATACTTTTTTTTTAATACTTACTTGGCTAACACTACTACTAGCCCTTCTAGAATCCTCAAGGCATATATATTTTTGAATACACTGAGAGTTCTTATCGGTATTTGACTTTTTTGGTGATTCTAATCGTGTTGTTCTTGCAGAGTCACTAGCTGTAAAATATTTAAAATTAAATTTAAATATTACTCTTAATAATTCTATTAGGCTTTGTTATACTTATGTCAATATCTATAATAGTAATAATACGTGAGGAACTATTTTTTATAAATATTCTGGAAATACTGACAACTTAATGTTGAGTGTCCAGTAAGTAAAGAAACAGGCAGGTTACTATTGTTCACATTGTTTATAACAATGATCCTGTTTCCTTACTTACTAAACAATCTGTATGTATTTTATTATATAAGCTGAAATATATTCATTATAAAAATTTTAATTTTAAATTAAAAAAAAAATATTTAACTCAAAAAGACACAAAAAAATGACTAAAAAATCGCGTATACGGAACAATGTCATTATCACATACTAAATATGTATGTGTTTAATTATATTATAAAATATACCCCTAGTGATCTTAAAACCTATTGAAGCTATCACTTAGTAATATTATCACATTTTGCCAGTTAATACAAGTTTAATAATGAATTTTTTAATGATTTTGAATTTTAGCCAATATCCAAATTAAATAAATCGTTCTTATTAGCCTTGATGCGAAGCTGAGAAGGTATTTGTTTTACTATGGTTTTTTTTTTTTTTTTTTGTCTGTTACCACTTTTTCTCAGCTCTCACCGAACGGATTTCTTTCAACGATACGTCAAAAGATCACAAATCGTATCTAGTCGAAGACATTACCCTCAAAAATTGAAAAAATTTCCCTCGTTCCCCGTAAATTGGGGAAATCTCTAAAAAATTACAACATTTAAAAATCGCTAATTTTCGAAATTTTTTCAATTTTTTTTACTAAAAACTGCCGTAACTTTTTTAAAAATGAACATATCAATATAATTTTTTTTTTATAGATGCTTGATGTATTTACTTATCATTTAGTATATTTCTTTTTTATAAATCTGACACTTAACCTACCCACAGGGGGGATTTAAAATGACAACTTTTTCACAACAAATTTACTTTTTCAACATAACTTTTAAAAATGTTCCGGAAGGTCTGACACTATTATATATATCTTAAATTAAAGCTAATGTAATATACTTTAATTTGAAAAAAAAAAATTTGACCTCTGGACTTGTCTTCACGGCGAAAATGGCTACCGAATGCTATTTTCGTGTGAAAATTCTCGATTTTATTATTTATATTATATTTAACTTTATAATGCTATAACTTATTGAAAAGTTTATGGATCCACACAATTTTTTTATGAGAAATAATATTTTTTAATAAACCCTTTTTCATTCGACATACTTTATCTTAATCGAGATATTAATAAGGAACCAGCAGATCAAGTAGCTTTTGGAATAAAACACCAATTTTTTTAAAATTAAACACTATCTAAAGATTTGCATCGAAGCGTTTATTTTTGATAGTGATTTTAATCACTGTCAGATATCATTATACTTGATCCAACTATGCCTCGTCACCACTGTGCCGCGACCCCCTTGTGCTGGGTATTTTTTTTTTATTGATTACCTCATAAATGTATTATATACAATAAAATGAACATTTTATGAAAATTTGAGATTAAAAAAAAAATTTTTACAGGTCGCTCAACGCGTTTTAAGAAAATTGACCAAAAATACTCAAAAAAACATAAAATGTCATTATTTATTCAATTTTTGTTCAAATTTCTTACTTAGTACAACTAAATTGTTCGTTTTTTAATGCCGAATAATAATAATTAGAAAAAAAAATTGTAAGTCCAAAATTGATTGCGTAAAGTCCATAAAAAGCTCAAAAATATGGTTAAGTTCAACGAACACTTAAGTAAACCAAAAAAATTTTTTTTTTCATTTTTTTTTTTTAATTTGATTAATATTTGTGTGTATTTTAAGAGGAAAAAATTTTTTCACTAATGTTTAAAACTACTACCTTTTTTTTTAGATTAGAACGTACGCTAGAATACACGATGTATATAAAAATAAATGAAAATATCGTCAAATTTTACTGTTTCCTTTTTACATTTTTTTTATTTTAAAATTTGGCATTAGCTATATATACATACACATATATTTATAATTATAAAAATAAAAATAATTTTTTTTTTTTTTTGTCACCAATGTTGATTTTTTACAATCGGGGTACTCATTCTAGACAGAATAAACGTATCTAGCCGAAAAGCCACATATATTTTGGCGTCTGCTTTAACTTAGTGTGATAAAAATATTAATGATTATTCGATAAGTAAAGATTGAATTCAAAGAGCTCGTAATTTTAATAGAAAAATTATAAATAATGAAATAATAAAATAATTCAAACCAAACACCGCTTTAATGGTTCACTGGGACGGAAAAATGTTGCCGTCTTACAACAAAAAAAATTACACTGAACGTTTAGCGGTATTAGTATCTGGTGATGGCAAAACTAAACTTTTGGGAGTGCCTAAACTTTTAAATTCTACAGGCAAATCGCAAGCTGATGCCGTTATTAAGCTTTTGGTTGATTGGAATTTAGTTAATCAAACAAATATGATATATTTTGACACTACTGCCTCCAACACTGGAAAACTAAATAGTGCATGTATTTTAATCGAAAAAAAATTAGGTAAGGAATTATTGAGTTTAAATCATCCCGAGGATGATTTAAATTTAATTTATGTTCACAAATTTAGAAATTATGTCTATATTTGGTGCTAATATCTTTAACACAACATCATCTGTCAACATATTACAGTATAGTTTTTTGTCTATATTTTCCAGGCTATTAGAAAATTTTTTGAATAGAGCTATGTCTGGGCCAGTTGATGGAGGCATTAATTTATCAAAAACTCTCCTAATTATTATTTCATGTATATGGTGTCTACAAGCAAAACTCAAAAATTCCTTACCTAATTTTTTTTATGTACATCGTGTATTCTAGCGTACGTTCTAATCTAAAAAAAAAGGTAGTAGTTTTAAACATTAGTGAAAAAATTTTTTCCTCTTAAAATACACACAAATATTAATCAAATTAAAAAAAAAAAATGAAAAAAAAAATTTTTTTGGTTTACTTAAGTGTTCGTTGAACTTAACCATATTTTTGAGCTTTTTATGGACTTTACGCAATCAATTTTGGACTTACAATTTTTTTTTCTAATTATTATTATTCGGCAATAAAAAACGAACAATTTAGTTGTACTAAGTAAGAAATTTGAACAAAAATTGAATAAATAATGACATTTTATGTTTTTTTGAGTATTTTTGGTCAATTTTCTTAAAACGCGTTGAGCGACCTGTAAAAATTTTTTTTTTAATCTCAAATTTTCATAAAATGTTTATTTTAATGTATATAATACATTTATGAGGTATCTCATAAACATTTCGAAGATCGATTTTTTTTTGAGCCACCCTAATATATATATTATAATAATATATAATATATATATTATATATATTAATTTTAAACCATTTTTATCTACAAAATAATTTAATATAAAATTTTCTTTCCGAACATTTTTTTAGCTTCAATGCGTTTAATTTCAATTCTACACCATTATTACTTTAAAAAAAAACCCTAACATAGTTGGGTCGCGGCATAGTTGAGTCAATTATAATGATATTTGACAATGATTAAAAGCACTATCATAAAAAATGCTTCAATGTAAATTTGTAGATAGTGTTTAATTTTAAAAAATTGGTAGACTATTCCAAAAGCTACATGATCTCCTTATTTATATTCCGATTACAAATTTTATGATTTACAAGTGTAATATATGAATAATTATATTTATAATATATAAATATAAAAAGAAAAATGGTTTTATTTTAAAAAAAAGTATATCGAATGAAATATGTATATAATAGTACTTCTCATGAAAAATTTGTATTGATCCATACATTTTTCTAAAAGTTATAACGTTATAGAGTTAAAAATATAAAAAATTTCATTTTACAAAAATCATATATTTTTTATCAACTTTAATGTCCTTTTCACTACGAAAACAAAATAAAGTACAAACATTTTTATGTAATTTATAATAATAATATAAAATTTTATATTATGCACTTATATAAAAAATTATTATACTAATTTGTTCTTTTTTGAAAAAGTTATGACAGTTTTAAGTAAAAAAAATTGAACATTTTCGAAAATTAACGATTTTTTAAAGATTTCCCCATATACAGGGAATGAGGGAAATTTTTTTTAATTTTTGAAGTTCATGTCTTAGACTAGATACTATTTGTGATCTTTTGAGTTTTTTTTTTGATTTTTGATCTTTTCGGTCTACCGACTGAGAGCTGACTCAAAAATTCTTCAAAATATCACAATTCGTATCTAATTGAAGGCATTACTTTCAAAAATTGAAAAATTCACCCTTAATCAATTACAAAAACAACTTACTCCGTGTAGACAATTAAAATCATTAATTTCTAATGTTATAAAGTATATACTCTCAAATTAGTTTTGATATGATAATAGGTTTCAACTACAAAATTAAATTATTTAACTTTGTTATTTATTAATTTCATGATTCTATTTATGTGTTTTACTACCATTCTATAGTATTCCAAATTTGTTGGTAACATGTTATGGTATAGTTCATTTTCAAATTTTTTTGAGATTATTACTAATTAGTAAAAAACAAATATTAATATACAAAAATTTTTTTTAATTGTTATTGATTTTTTAGTTTTTAGTATAATAATAATCCGTGCAAAATTTCGATTCAAAATTTCGTGTGTTAACATATTTATTTGGTCCCATAAGGTTGATTTTTAGGTAAGTTTATTATTTCGAAAGAATGTTGAATTTTATAATAAATATTTTTCAATTACTCTTGTAATTTAAAACTGTATTTTTTATTTTATTGTATAGATTGATATGTGGACAGGAATTTATATTATCACTATTAACAGTAATATTATGAAAACGCTCAAATATTCGTTCTTTGCTTTTTTGTATTAATATTGAACTATATAATTTCAATAAAAATCATCATAATCATTGTTTAAATTATAGAGTGATAAATTATGGATAAAACACTAATTTTCTTCAAAACTATTGAACATTTTTGTTAAGAAAAAATTGTTTAACTAAAAAAACTATATAAAAATCATTTAAAAATGTAATTAAATAAATTTTTTTATCCTTTGAGGGATAAAAAACTTTAATTTTCTTTGATAGGATGCCTATTTTTAGTTTGATGATATGATAGAATATATATTTTTATACAATTTTGTTCTAAATCGATATTGTATTCGGTGAACCTCTATTATTAATTGTTAAAGTTTAGCGTAGAGTATTCATAATTTCTTCAAGCTGTCACATAAACATGTTTTTATTGACAAATTTTATTACATATCTGTCACTTACAATGGCAAGAATACAATACAATACTAAATATATTTTGGGGCCAATGAAACAGATTATTCTGTCTCCGGTATAATGAAAACTAAATCATCAAACTAAAAATGAGAGCTCTGTTAAAGAAAATTAAAGTTTAGGCACTTTATTAAAAGAAAAATAATATAACTACGTATTATTATAGTTTCTTGAACCAAACAGTATTTTTCTTTACATAAATTGAAAACATTCAATCATTTCTAAGAAAATGAGCATCTTATCCTTAATTGATTGCATGTATAAAAATTAATTTTCTAAAACTTTAAAATAGTCAATCAAGTTTTACCAGGGATATAATTTTTATTTTAATTAATTAAAAGAATCAAAAGTTAATTATTCTTCTAGTAGTTTTGAAAATGATGAATCTATTGCAGCAACTTTTATAATTAGCTAATTGGGCTGTAAATCACAATGTACTAAATAATACTATTTCTAATTCATTAAAAATTAAAAAAAAAAATTTTGCTGATGAAATAATATATCTAGTTGTTAGTGTACTATTATTATTAGTATTGAAGTGTATGATAAAAGTAATACAATTGTTGAAAGCAAAAAAAAATTATAATAAACGCAATTTGCTGTTATTCTCATGCAAAAGTTTTTAAAAACTAAAGGACATATTGGATTCTATTTCTGTAGTATAATATATATTGTATGAAGTAAATTTCTACATAAACGTGTATGTTTTCGAGATTTAAATTGTTCTAAACGAACTGATAATGATTTCGCAATTAAAATAATGAAAAATATCATATTGCAGGTAGTACTACTATATTATTCCTTACTAATAATAATCCGGCTATTGATATTATTCTAAATTTCACTCTTGATTATAACATTTATTACACTTAAAGATGGTTCGTAAAATACTATTATCATGGTAGGGAAGTGGAGATATTGATAAAATAATTATTAATTCACAAAATTTATTATTAAGTATTATTAAGCTTTTGAATATTTGTTACAGCAAAATTTGAAAACAAAAATAGTGTTAGGAAGGCATATTGAAATACTTCAAAAATTTTAAATAGTTTTAAATTAAATATTCATAAATCTTACGAATCTTCTAAAAAATATTAGTAATATTACTACTATATATATATTGTTTCAACTACAGATCGAGGTTTTATGGTTTTAATCAATATCATTCCATTTTTTAAAATAATAAATTGTTTATAATTAAAAATTCTTTGGCTATGTAAACAATATTTAACTATTTATTTTTAATATATTAAAATATAACCTATATAAAATGTATGCATAATACTATATAATAGGTAATATAATTGCACCTTTTACTTACAGCTTTGTTAGAGAGAATTTTAAAAATAAAGGGTGTGATTCATTTTATCAAAAATAGTGTGAAAATAAGAGAACAGTGTGTAGGGTGTTCTTACTAACTAAATTAATGATTAAATGCGTATATGACCTAAAAATTATTACAATGCTTTAAAATTAAGAGATAGGTAAGTTAAGCCAAATAAATTTGAATTCGGCCATTACAGAGTATGGGTTTTATCTTCTACCATTTGTAACTTTATATGTATTTAATATTAAAAATATTTATTTGGATGAAGGAGAGGTGAAGCTAAAAACATTCTAATGACAAATACTATCATTTCTGCCTCACCACTAGTGTCTGTATATTTTAAAATAACAATAACTTCTAAAATAAAAGATCAAAAGTTGTTATCAAGAAGTCATTTCCTTAGTTGTATTATTTTTTTATTAAATAATATAGTTAAATATGTATGTTGCTATTTAAAAAAACATAGTTGGTACCATTAAAAGGAATAAGAGATAGGCCTAAAAATATTTAATCATTTATAAACCCTGTAAAGTTTCCTTAATTCATAATGAAAAAGGTAATTAATTAATTAATTTGTTTATCATTACTAAAATTCCAATTTAAAATAAACAATCCCTATTTTAGTAATTACCATGAATTCAAACAAATTCATTAAAACTTAATCCAGTTCTCAAAAAAATAATGATGAGTAATTTTTCTTTTATTTAATATGGATATATAGGTCTTTTATTACTTTAAATATTAGTTAATATTGTTTGCTTTATACATATTGAGTAGAAATAATCCATCATTTAAGGTATATTTAAATAAAATCAATGTAATAAATTATTGAAAAATATATAATTATATAAAACAACTATAATACTTTTTTTTCAGCTATATTAATCAATTAGTTGGTATGTATTAAATTAGAGATTACCAGAATATCTGATGTACAACAACAAATTTTAGAACAGTTGTCAAATTTCAATGATTATTTTAACAATGTTATGAATGATGGAATTGATTTTGAAAATATTTTTCAATACATATTAAGTTGAATAATATGGAATATAAATTAAAGTACGAAGAAAATGTTAAGAATAAAGTGGTTATTCAATTTTATTTATTATTAATTCTTTGTGTTAAAAAGAATATTAATGATAAGTTTTAATTATTTTAAATTAAAATTCGAATTATAGGTTTGTGTACTTCCTAGAGTTTATAACAAATGTTTTAAAGGTATATTACATGTAATAATGAAAGAAGTTTTTTGTAATAATATTCAGGAAAATTTTACATATTTTGAACTGAGAAATAAAAATAACTTTTTCATATAAAATTTAATTTAAGCCATTTTAGATAATAACGTTTTCTTAGTTTATCAAGTAATAAATTGTTTTAAATGAATTGATTGATCTTAGAAGTTACTAGCAAATCAAAATTTAAAAGTGATTCTAAAATTATTGAGACAATTGGAAAATGGCTCACAACTTTAAAATTTAGATTGGAGAAAAGAAATCAGATAATAGTACTTAGGTTTAAATGTTTGAAAACATTTTGATACATTTAAAATAAAAAAAAAATTATTTTATGTGTTATAATTTTATATTCCTGACATACATTTTTTTGAAATATACCCAATAAAAATAATTTTGAAACTTTTTTACATTTTAAGGAGCCTAATACCAAATTATATTGAGCAAGATATTAAAGATATACTTATGCAAAAATCAGATAAAAAATCTATTGGGAAAAGTCAGGAAAAATCATAGGGGTCTAACCTTAATATTACCCCGCCTTATTCTATCTAAATTTAAATACTATATAATTTTCTCTTTTCAGAAGTTAATAATATCCAATAATTTTTAATTTTCAAATAATTATGTTTCTATCTCTATCCTGTTTATATATGTTTATTTTTTAAATGAAAATGTATTTAAAATAATAAAATTAAAAAATATCTAAAAATTGGCAAAATGTGACAATTAAATAAGTGGTAAGGTCACTAGGGGTATATAAGGATATTTTCGGTCGGAGTCTCAGTATGTGTTTAGCGTTGATAGTAACATTGTTGCCAAAATATGTATACACAATTTTGTCGTATTTTTTTTTTTTTTTTTGAGTTAAATATTTTGTAGTTTTAAAATCATGGGGAAACTCACTCCCCCCTCGCCGGTTAAATCTTTGCTGACTGTGTATACCAGCCAATTAATATTTATCTATTTTTTACTTAAGTGCTTGCTACATTATTGCGAAATGAAATTGGAGCGAATAATTTGATTCTTATTCACATCAAAGTTTTTATGGTAATAACTAAAATTATTATGAATTTGGATTTTTTTAGTTAATTTTTCGTCGGATGAAATTTAGAGTTTGAGAAATCTGTAAATTTGGTGGTAATGAGGCATACACAATATTTAAAAAAAAGTTTCTACCTCCTCTATTTGTATATTCAATATTTTTTTTTTATTATGACATACCCCTTTTTATAATTAAGAAACAGAATAAAAACGGTTATATATGAACTTTGGATTTATGACTGGCTAAACTCTAGTAAAACGTATTCTCTATAATATTTACAAAAATACCACTAAGTATAAAATGTAAATTATCCTACAAATTTCTTGCTTACATATAAGTATTTACATTTTGTCAAAAAAGCATATGTTTAATCATGCAAGTGAATATTGTATATTACACATTTTTTAAATTTCTTACAAATTTACTTACGAGATTCGTTTGAAGCTTTTATCAATTTTAAATGTGGATCAAAATGTACACATGAACCTGATCCAATACTTCCTCTAGGTGTCCTACCTAAAGAAACTGATTCAGCCATTGGTATACTTCCTCTGCAAATTCTGCTCATATTGTATGCTCCTTCAGAAGCAACGCTTCCTCTCGGACTTCTTCCAGGATCTGGTATCAAACTACCTCTTGGACTACGACTTATTTCGGGTGTCACCGTTAAACTACCTCTAGGGCTTCGATTCAAGTCATAAGCTATGCTACCTCTAGGTGATCGACATATATCTGGAACCAGACTGTTTTTTGGACTTCTTGATATTTCTAGTCCGACGTTACTGGACCGTGGACTGCGATTAAAATTTTCAATGTCTAATCGTAATCCTGATCGCATATCTGAATATTCGTCATCTATTAGTAAACTACAACGAGAGCTTCTTGAACTCCTCGGATCCAAACATTCGGATGTGAGACTATGTCTTGGATTTCGATTATCATTAACTTCAAGCCTAGATAAATTAGATCGCATACCAATATCTTTTTGATCATCAGGCAAAAATCGTGGTGACTTACGATGATCTGATGGTACCAAACTAGAGCGTGGGCTTTTTAATGCATCTGGTACAGGACTATTTATCGGACTTCGATCAATGTATTGTACTTTTGTTTCTGATACAAAACTGGGCCTAGGGTTACGTTTGTGTAGAATATTTTCTAAAAGTGGTTCATCAGGTGATATAGTTCTCTGATGCATTTCTAATGCTTCTAACGATGACAAAACAGCAACACTAGCTCTTCGTTTTTGAGTACTATTTTTTATTTGTTGTGTCTGCTGTTGCTTAAATTCTGGTTTATTTGTCATTTGATTTTCTTTACTTGTCATGTTTTTTCTATCATCGTAACTATTTTTAATCCATCTTTTACTTGATGACTATGTTCACTGCAAAATCATTAATACTTGGATTGTTGATATTTAAACAAAAATATGTAACAACCTAAAAAAAAAAAAAATTAATTTGTAATTAAGGTAAATTGAGATATTAAGTTAATTATAATACAGTAAAATTTAAATTGTAGCAATTTAAATGTTTAATATAATATGTGTAAGTTGTTAACAAGTCATAAATAATAATGTTAGTTACCATTTTTTAACATTCAAAAACGCTTTCCTAGAAATTTAACACACTTGTGTATTTTATTGTAAGTGTGAGCTATACATTATTATTAAAATAAAACTATAACACACATGGACAATAAAATTTTTTTTCATTTAAGTATTATATTCTGTATTTTATGTTATATAAATATAATAATAAGTTATCGTAACATTTAGTGTAACACATAGAATATATTTTAAATAGAATTTAATGAATCAAAAATGAATAACTTTAAAAAAATATAAGAAGAATAATTATTAAGAAAAATATTGATTTAAAGAAGTGTTCACTTATTAATAAAAAAAATCTAAAAAGAATCCTCACTCGACCAACATAAGCTTATGGAGCACAATCTTCAATTATTTTCATTCAAAGAGTAGTTTTATTTTTTTTTTTCGTCAAGCTGTTAATGTTTGTATAAATTATACGTTTCCATAAGAAATAATTTTAAAAGTAATCAATAATAGACATACAGTTCTATTAATTTTCTTAAAATTTGATTTTTCAGTAATTTGCTCTTCAACCTTAATGAGCTTATGATTAGATAACTAAGAAATTAATGTTTGAGTTACTGCATAAAAACAAAATAACGTGAGATCAACATTCAATTTCTTTAAGGTTAAAATCATTCAATACTTTTTACATCTACCATTAGCAGTTAGCTATTACAAGGAGTACTTTAACGTTTCACGCGCTATTATTGATTTATATATTTCATTATATTTCATTATATTTTTTTCGTGTTTTTCTACGTTATACAAAACTAATAAGAAATCAATTAAAAGGTACAACACTTGAACCATTTCATTTATTGAAAAACAACATTACACACAATTTTGAAAATGAGTTTTTAAATGCATTATGTTTTTCATTAGTAACGTAAAATTTTTGAAAAATTTAGAATTTAAAAATAATTTCGAGTAAACGGATTTATAACTTCATTAGAAAAAATATCTATCTTGTGTCTGATGAAGAAAGTAATTGTGAAATTACATTATTATTTATATATCGTAGTAAATTATGTATTATGACTCAAAGACCAGTTCTTTCAAACGCCTTACTCAAAATAATAAAACAGAACAATTTTATTTTATTTTAGTTTCGATGTGAAGCTGAGAAGGTATTGATTTTGTGTTGGTGTGTAGTATTTTCACGTTTTCCATTAAAATACTTAGATCTTACTGGACCAATTTTTAGAATCAACAAGTCAAAAAAACTCGTCATTAATCTAATTGAACCTGTCAGTGACAAAAATTAGGAAATTCAAAAAAAAATATCTCAAAATTACTCTTCAGTAAAAAATAGCATATTTAATACATTTATTCTGCATTTTAAAAATGATGTAACTTTTTTTTAAAACATTGTTCCAAATACAATATGAATGCTGTTTATAAAATCTAACATAAGAACATCCAACATTACTATAGAAAGGGTTTGAAAGATATGCAGATATAATTTTTAGCTTCGATGCGTTTTTCACTTGATTTATGAAAACATTCCAGAATGTCTGACAATTTATAACCTATATCAAATAGATGTACTAAAATATTAACAAAAAAAAAGTCCCGACAAATGTTTTACTGTGTGAAATTTTCTGTTATGAAAAACATTATGTTATTATTTTGGGTGAAATCTTAAATCATAGAAATTGTAAAATTAAAAGTATACTAATTGAAACATTTTTTATAATAGTGATGTAAATCACTATCAGATATCATCAATATGTTTACGTCCCCACTGTTCCAAGTTTTTTTATATTAACTAGACGTATCTCATTGAATATTTTACTTTGGCCATTACATATTCAATACAATACGCTTATAGTTGCTCAAAAATATTTTTTACTATTTTCTTTAGAAAGAATGTACTCAAACTATTTTTTAACACATATGAATAATTTTGGCATTATTTTCAGTAGTTCAAAGTTTAATTTTTTCTAAGGGGTCTTAGCCTTCCAAGAAATGAAGCATCAATCTAAATTTTATAGTAACTATATTTATTTTGGTTATAAATATTTTAAAAATCTTATTATCTATTCTATTTTAAATTAAAAATATTCAGCCAACAGATGACTATATAAATGGTAGTGTGATAATACCATTGATAAATTATTAGATACTATTGTTTTCTTATTAATAGATTTATTGGTCTATATTCTATACTGGTTCGTTAAATTACCTTTGTTAGTCCCGTACTTGGCAATGATCGATTAAATAACAAAAGTAAACAATACGGATTTAATATATTGTGAGATTTTTGTTAAGTAGATATATTTTATTGAAATAAAAGTAATATTAATTATTATTTAAATAATTTCACTAAGATTATTATTAATTTAAAATTATTAAAAATGAAATATTATTGTATGAGTAGTAGGAAGCGTGAAAGTGAGTCCCTGCAAGTCATTTCAATAAGAATTTTTCTAGTCCCCCAATAAATTTAACCAAATGTCCGCCTATGATTGTGTGATTGATTTATAACCTACGAGTTAATAGTAATGTTTAGTCATTTTAAGTAGTTGTTTTTTCCTCATAGTAATTTGTAAAATTATCAGTAAATAAATTTATCAGATGTCATCAAGTATTTATACAACAGTTTGATAAAATAATTTTATAAAGTAATAATTTTCCATATTAAGCAAATATTTATACAACTTTAAACAATATTTTCAAAATATCAACTCGTTACAAAATTATTTACATACCTTTTTTTTAATGTTATTTATAAAAATAATCTACTTATAATTCATTTTTTGTTATTTTAAAACTTATGATGATAACTCATCAAACAAATTTTATTACAAAAAGTGAATCTTTGGATAACTTTAGAATATTCTGAAACATAGAAATCGTGACAATCGATCAATTAAAAAAGCGAATAATAATTCAATCAGATACATCACTGTTATAAAAACAAACTATATTATAATAAGTTTGGGTTACCTTTAGGTAAGTTCACCGATAAACTGTGACGGCGCTCCATGTCAATAATGAGACACTAACAGCTTGTTTACTGGTGCTAAAATTGTAAATTCATAAAAAAATGAATGAACATTATTGTTTTAATTTATTAATCTATGAATTTAGAAATCGTCACGAAAACAATAGATGTTGAAAGATTATGTAAATATTTATATATATCTTTCAGACACAACTTCATTGTTAAATATTTCAATATTATATCGGCTGTAGAATTAACTGAAAGTGAAAAGGACAATACACACGTGCTATACGATTGGAACGATCGAGAAAACTGAAGTTCCTACAAAAGACGACTGATGGCGTGACTGAAAAATCACTGGTGGCAACGGTGTAGGTAACCCCAAAGCTCATGTAACACAGTAAGCGCTTTTTTAAGTTACAAAGAGATTGCTTCACTTCTCAAGCAGTTATAATATCTCAACTTGAATCGGGATTTTTAGGTTTTTTAAAACTTTAAAATATGATACAAATATCCTCTAAATATATCTTTAATTGTTGATAATAATATGCACAATTATTTTTTCAAAATATGTTATAAGGTGAATTAATTTATTATATATGTATATTATATACATATATAGTACCCATACGAACTTAATACACTAATATAGAATATTCTAACTGATCAAATGTCAAATTAACTTAATTTTATCCAATCCTCGTATAAATAATGAGAGTATACAAATCTCAATACGAAATAACTACAAAAATACTTTTGAAATACTATTTTAAATTTGCGCTAACGGCTGATAAATAAAAATAATAAAATTATTAAAACTTTTGAATAATGTAAAATATGATCAAAGTCTATTAAAATTTAAAAATTTTTTAATAAAAACATCATTTAAAAAAACACGTGAAAATTTTATTTTTAAATTACCAACTGAATATTTGTCAAATTTTCAAAAAATAGTTATTGGTTTAAAAACAACTAATTAAAATATTTCAAACCAAAAAAAAAGAGGCATTATTTAAAATATTAAATTAACATAACTAACAAAATACTAGTTTCAAATTTAAAAATTTGTATTTTATTACATTAAATTTCAGTTTTGTTTTTTTTTAATGATATTTTATTGTTACACATCTACGTCTTATTTTTAGTAAAACGACTTTATTATAATTTTTTAAAATATGAAAAGATAAAATAAAACTAATTTATATGTATATAGATTTTTTTTAATTATTAAACAAAGGATACTTTTAACTCCTAAAAATAAAAATCTACATTATATTTTATTATTTTAAAGATAATATTTGAGATATAGTTGAACAATTATATGAAAAATAATTATTTCTTAATGTATTATTTAATAATATTTTTTAATATTTTATTATTTGTTAAAATAATATAAATATTTGCGTGGATCTTTGAGTTTATTTACTTGTACATTTTTCNTTGCGTGGATCTTTGAGTTTATTTACTTGTACATTTTTCAGGAATTTTTAATTCTGAGATTGTTACACTTAGTTAGAATCTGTCTAATTTCTCTTTTTACTGTAAAAAATATAAGATAAAATAATAAGCAACTTTTGTTCTGTACCAAATAAAAATCGAAAAAGTGTTCAAGAAAAAATACTTGCACACTATTTTAAAAAATGCAATAGTCGTCAACTACAAATAAATATAATTAAAAAAAACTGAAAAACACTCTTTTAAAGCACATCAAACTAAAAAGTTTAAAATAATTTTTAAAATAAGCTTAAAACAATAATGAACAAAAAATTTTAGTATTATTGTGAAAAAAGGGGGCTTTGTGCCATATTTTTCATATATTGAGCACCCGACGATTTTTTTTCATAATTACTAGTATTTTTTTTTTTAAGCTTATTTTTAACTTTTTAGTCCAATGTGCTTTAAAAGCTCGTTTTTCAGTTTTTTTTAAATATATTTATTTTTTACTTTTTAGTTTTTTATGACATATCTGTTACAGTCACAGAGAGTTTATTGTCAATTATGACTATTAATAAATATAATTTCTGTATTGCCAGTTAGTGTGTTTATAAACTAACAACAGTGTGTCTTATTATCATTGATAATAAAGGCTATATACCTGTGAATATCGTCATAAAAAACCAATCAGCTACTTGTATTTGTAATCCCTTATATATTATACATGTATATTAACTCAAAAAAACGGTAGCACAGTGGGGTCGAGGCACAGTGTGGACGAGGCATAGATGGGACAAGTATAGATGATATCTGACAGTGATTAAAATCACTATCATAAGAAACGCTTCGATGCAAATCTGTAGATAGTGTTTCCTTTAGAGAAATTGGTGAAATATTTTAAAAGCAACATGAACTCTTATTTCTTTAATTATATCCTGATTAGTAGTTCTTTGATTTTAAAATATAATATATGAATAAATACTAATTATAGTTTTTAAATTTAGTATGAAATTGTGAGGCCAGCTATGATGTATGGTTCATAGTGTTGGGCGGTTGATAAGAAAGTAGAGCAGAGAATAAGTGTAGCAGAGATGAGAATGCTTAGTTGGATGAGTGGAGTGACTAGAGAAGATAGGATAAGGAACGAGCATATAAGAGGAAGTATAGGTGTTGCGTCAATCGTGGATAAGATGACAGAAAATAGACTTAGATTGTTTAGTCATGGTATGAGGAAAGAAGAATCGAAAGCTGTAAGAACAGTTATAGAAATGAATGTTGAAGGAAGAAGAGATAGAGGAAGACCAAAAAAGAGATGGAGGGATGCTATTGAATGCGATTTGAGGACAGCTGATGTGAGCGTAGAAGATGTGGGAGATCGTGTCAAGTGGAAGCTTAGGATAAGGGTGGCCGACCCCAAGTAGTTGGGATTAAGGCAAAGAAAAAGAAAAATATTACCAGATATTCCGGTGGCAATTGACATAATATGATTGTTATTTCGGAATGTACAATTTAGCGTTTAGTTGGGTTTAAATAATATAGCGTCAAATCAATTACCTACTCTATCGGTTGTATCTCAATATACACTACACTTTAATGATACAATAAATAAATAAACTCACACATACACACATATGCATTTATAACATTGTGTCTAATGTAAGTATAACATGATAAAAAGTAACCGTAAAATGAAAAAAATGGAATATAAATTTTATTACTCATATTAAATGTAATGTAACTCGAAAAATATTTGTTTAAATGAAAAAATATAAGATTATATTTTTATTTATAATTGTCTTTTAAACAACTTTTGTGCGAAACTTTTTTTTGTAAGTTAAATATTTTTTTTTGAGAAAATTAAGAAAGCTCATATTTTTGAACTTTTGCGAGGATTTAAAAAAAAAGCTCAATTCCAATCTTGAGGACTATTAGTATGTCATTATACATATTTTAATTCAACTTTTAAAAAAACAAAATTTTTTCCGCAATTTTTCCTTTGTTGACAGGCCTAGATGTCAATTTTAAACTTGTAATTGAGCTAAAAGTTATGGTAATATATTCAATTTATTTTACTATAAACTTTCATAAATCTTTATCAAAAATTTTTCATCAACTTTAAAGAACCAAAAAAATAGGTTAAAATTGAAAATTTGGACTGATTATTTTTAACATATTAAAAATCAAATCAGTAATAATTTGAAAACAAATTTTTTTTTCTTTTAATTATTATTTTATATATATAATTAGTAATAATATAAAAAATTAGAAGTGATAGAAATAGTCTACTTGCAGATTTGAAAACAACGCGAAAATTTGATTTAGAAAAGTATATTTTTGCTTCTGATGAAAGTTCCTTGTAGTCCAGTGCATTTTTTTATAGTAACAAACAGTTTTTATTGAAAATTATTGTATCAAGCCCTTTAAATTTTTATACACGTAAAAGTAAAGCAAAATATAACTTCTTTATTATTTTTATAATTTCTCCGTTTAAATTACAATATTAAATATCAATTTCATACTAAATTTAATAATTATAATTAGTATATATTCATATATTATATTTTAAAATCAAAGAACTACTAATCATGATATAATTAAAGAAATAAGAGTTGATGTTGCTTTTGGAATAATCCACCAATTGCCTAATTAAAACAAAAAAAAAAAAAGTTTGTTGGGAATTTTTTCTGCTATTCTGCAAAATTACTCCTTCGTTGACTAGAATGAATCATTAAATAGAAAATTTTATGAGAATTAAAACAATGTTATTTTTAAGATTAATATGCAGTCAGAAAGTTTTATAATTATTATTTATTGTAAATTTATCAGAAAAACTCATTATTTTTTGCATTTTTATCGTAATAGAACACTTAAATAGAAATCATAGTAATCATTTCTAAGTAATTTTTGATATTTAAAAAGATTCTACTATTGAAATATCCAGAACTGAATTAATTTTAATGATTTACTTTAACTAAAAAAAAAAAAGTTAATATTTTGAATCCCTCTTGTGGGCAGGTAAAGGGTTAGATTTATAAAAAAAACCAAATGATAGATAAAGACATGCATCTAAATAAAAAAAAATATACTGATTTGGTCATTTTTGATAAAGTTATAACAATTAACAAAGTTATAAGTTTTATACACTGGACTACAAGGAACTTCCATCAGAAACAAAAATATACTATTCTAAATCAACTTTTCGCGATGTTTTAAAATGTGCAATTAGACTTTTTCTATAACTTCTAAGTTTTAATATTATTAAAAAATAGTTTTTACATATAAAAAAAAATAATTAAGAACAAAAAAAATTGTTTTAAATTAATACTGATTTGATATAATATTTAATATTAATTTGATTATTAATAAGTTAAAAATAAGGAAAATGACATATTTAACCTATTTTGTTAATCGTTTAAAGTTGATTGTTGTAAATGTTTATAATAAAAAAAAAAAATTTATTTTACCATAACTTTTAGCTCAATTGGTAAGTTTGACATTGACATAATTAAATAGAAAATTTTATGACAATTAAAAAAATTGTATCGTTAAGATCAATATGCAGTCAGAAAGTTTTATAATTACTATTTATTGTAAATTTATCAGAAAAGCTCAATATTTTTTTGCATTTTTATGGTAATAGATAACTTAAATAGAAGTAATAGTAATAATTTCCTAGGAACTTTTGTTGTTTGTTGAAAAGATTCTATAATTGAAATATTGAGAACTTAATTAATTTTAATGATTTACTTTAACTAAATGTACCAATCAAAACAAAGTTGTTAAAAAGATTTACTCAATTGAGTGTATTATAAAATTTGATTATATTTGTAAAAATCAATTGTTAATTCAGGAGAAAAAACAATCATTTTTTTTAGAAATGATTTATATAGCAACATGTT